TGGGCAAGGTATGTAGCGCCGTTTAAGTGAATGTTTAAAGTCGACATAAAACAGAAGTTCCGATAGTCTTTTCTTCCCTACTGTGATGTGCTGTATATCCGAGTGAAATGGCTCCACGAACAAGAAAAAATGTAGGGTGGAACTTGATTGGATTGTTTGAGCATTGTGATTTGCTATGCTGTGACATCATGTGAGTGACAGGTTGTCCCGCCCTCATGGCAGTGAACGCATCATCAGAGAAGAGAAAAGATGTGATCGTAGGAAGGAAGGGAAGTTATTTTGACTAAAGAATACATGAGCACATGAATTAAAAAACAATTATTATGTGCACGATAAATAATTTATAATAAATATTGCAATATTCCATTAAAAAAACAAGATTTGTCAATTTTGATTTCATAGTCAGCTCTCTCCAGCTCTGTTTATCATGGTATCTATTGTCCTTAGTGTTGGGAATTTTATCTATTTATTTTTTTATGTATCGATTTAAATGTATTGCATAGTTTCTTTGTTAATTGTGCAACTTTTGTTATTTACTTGGGTGAGTAAGTACTGTAAGTGAAGGATTTTTATGACATATGATTCTGTTAAAGGTTTTTGAACATCTGCGTTTTGCCTGTGCAGGACCAGCGTACTAAAATTTGGAAGAATACATTTAGTTATTTTTTTAGTAAAAATGTTATATAATAAGTGGTAAAAAATAAACCGTTAAATTTGATTCTCTTGTCTGTATACTCACTGATAAAAATGTGGTGACTTGAACTTTTCAAAAGTGGGGAAGCTACTAATCAATGGCAAAATATGTACTGATATATCTTGGTGTCTGCAGTATTGCTTTAAAGCTCAAGTTTAGGTTATTTTTAGTAATAAATGGTAGAAAAAAAGAAAGAAAGAAAAAGACAATAAAAACATTTAAAAATGTAAACAAAAATAACATTGTTTTAGTATTTCTGTTTAGTAGCATATAATGAAACATAACATCGTAAAGGGACAATTTTTGTTTTGGTTAAATTCGATTCCCATCGCCAAATCTCATACGTTCTTCTTTCACCTTAGAAAGTGTAAACTCACAACAACCGGCCCCTGGCAGGAAGTCCCACCTATAGCGTTGAGTGACATAACAATCCTGCCTTGTGGGCCGAAGAGCACAGTGGAACAGGTGCCATTATGGGCCATCAGCAACAAAGGAGACGTCTTGTGCCGCTTGGGTGTCACCTCACTGACACCTGGGGTAAGAGCCAAGTTCCTGATTTGGTTTAGCACTAAGTCATTTCCATGCAAATGATGTACAAATACTGTACAAACTTATTTAGCATTATCACTGTGAGAGGTTTCCTAGAATGATGTAATCATGACTGATGATGTGGCTTGCTCGCAGGGGTCCTCATGGTTGCATGTGGGAACTGACCAGCCTTTCAAGTCGATTTCCATAGGTGGCGTTCACCAGGTTTGGGCCATCGCTAAGGATGGTTCTGCGTTCTATAGGGGCTCTGTGTCCGCTGAGAACCTGGCAGGTGAGGGAATAACCTATCACAAACCCCATGAATATGCAGCAATATACACTTCTCTCATGTTACATGTTAATGCAAGTCATTCCTGTCATGCTGATTTCACAGCATTGCCTGTGGTATTTCTGCAGCAGCAATAGAAAGGTTTGATCTGTTTGCAGGAGATTGCTGGTACCACATCCCCTCTCCAACCGGACAGAAGCTTAAACAGGTGTCAGTGGGCAGGACGTCTGTATACACAGTGGATGAAAATGGTACACCTATACACATCATACTGATAAAAAGGTGTTAATACTATAGTGGCAACTGGAATATAGTAGTAACACTTTATCATAAAAGTATTTTTAATGCATTAATTATGCCTTTTAATGCACCTTATAATGCATTGTATGGTCTATGAATAATTTTAACCATAGATATAAAACATTATCCCCCGGTTTCACAGACAAGGCTCAAGCCTAGTCCCAGACTAAAATGCATGTTTGCGCTGTTTTAACAGAACGCAACTTGCACTGACATATCTTAAAATATGTCAGTGTCATTGTTTTGTCTCAAGATGCACACAAGTAATGTTATTTTCTAAGGCACGTTTATGAAAGCTACTTAAATGTCCTGGTTAAACTAAGGCCTAATCCCGGCTTAATCTAAGCCCTCTCTGTGAAGCCAGGCTTTTGATACTTATCTATTCATTGTTACACCTTTAGACAATATAATGCATTAAAACATGAACAATCAATTTCTGATGTAACAAGGAAACTTTGGTTAAGTTATATATATATATATATATATATATATATATATATATGATAGATATACATAATGAATACCTTTATTATGCATTATACATAAGGCTTTATATATATATATATATATATATATATATATATATATATATATATATATACATATATATTCACACACACAAAAATTGGGGTGTCAGTAAGATTTAAAAAAAAAAAAAATGTTTTAACTTTTATTCAGCAAGGAGTCAAGGACGCATTAAATTTATCCAAACTGACAGCAACAACATTTATAATGTTACAAAAGATTTCTATTTCAAATAAATGCTGTTCATTTGAATGTTCTATCCATCAAATAATCTTGAAAGAATTGTATCATGGTTTCTATGAAAAAAATATTTGCCATTAGAGGAATAAATTACATTTTTAAAATATATATTAATATAGAATAGACTTCTTTAAATTATAAGTAATATTTCACATTATTACTGTTTTTGCTGTATTTTTTTAATCGAAATTAATGTAGCCTTGGTGAGCTTTTTTTTTCTTAATTTTCTTTTAAAACTTACTGACCCCAGACTTTAAAATGGTAATGCATATAGTTATTATGATAATATAATATAATACTGAAAATAATAGTACATAGATACACATAGATAATCATCATTGCAAAAAAAAAAAAAATGATTCTAGAAGAATCCATGTGCAGTCTAAAGCAATTGGCTGTGCTGTACATGATCATTATTTAAAACTGTCAAATAAAAATGGCAATAATTGCTATAGTAGTTATTATATGTGTGGTTTTGTATGAGCAGGTAACCTGTGGTACAGACATGGTGTGACCCCCAGTTACCCTCAGGGCTCATCATGGGAGCACATCTCCAATAACGTGCGCAAAGTGTCCGTTGGACCTCTGGACCAGGTCTAGACCATTTCCTTGTAACTAGTTGTTTCAGCCTAACTATTCTAGGTTTTCTGCTCTGCTAAATGCCAGATGTGTGTCTTTCCTAAGGTGTGGATCATTGCAGATAAGGTGCAGGGCAGTCACAGTTTGAGCTGTGGCACCGTGTGTCGCCGGCTGGGGGTGCTGCCGATGGAACCAAAAGGACACTCGTGGGACTATGGCATTGGGGTGAGCACTGCTGATGTCATCTTTATGTTCACTAGTAGTACAGAACGGATAGAAAATAAGAAATGATCTGCTTCTATCAGGGTGGATGGGATCACATAACAGTTAGAGGAAATGCAATGGAGGCACCTCGTATCCTGATGCCGTCACTGACTGACAATGGAAGCAACCGAACGGCAACACGCAGTCCACTGCAAACCAGTGACCAGCCAGAGATGAACGGAAACCCAGTGGGCTGTTAGTCAAACAGCTGAGCTCTTCATGCTAACCATCTCTACTGTAGCCATAAATTGTTTCCTTACTGTAGTACTTCTGTTGTATAGAGCAACAGTTAATCATTCGTCTCAAGTTCCCGCACATGTAGATGACTGTGTATTTTGAATTCACATTCTCCAGTTAGCTTGAACAATTTTTTTTCTTGTTTTGAGGGCTCTCTTGGATAATGAGGCCACTTCCAGTAATGCCCTCTCCTTTTTAAAATTCCCATCATTCGTCATTAGGTTTTGATCTCAATTTAATGTTCGTCTGTGGTCACATCACGATTGCCCATTAGCTTTTATTTTTTTAATTCTTTATTTGAAATCAGGGGCATTAAATACAAAAAATGTCACAGTGTAAGCTACTGAAGGTAATCTACAAGCATTTTATATTGAACATCACACACAAAACAGTTTTAAACAAACAGCTGCGTCTGGGATTTTACAGCACGGCTCCAGTGTCGTAAAATATTCTGTAATACTTTCATCATCTGCTTGTATCCGGTTATTGGTTATTTATGGTTCTTACTCAAAGCTGAGACAGCACAGTGATTCTGTACAAATACACCACATTTCCAAAGTTCGGGGTCAGTAGGATTTTTTTTTTTTTTAAATAAATATATGCTTTTATTCAGCAAGGATGCATTAAATTGGCCAAAAGAGAGAGTAAAGACTTTCTTAAAGGACAAGTTCGGTATTTTACACTTAAAGCCCTGTTTTAAAATCGTTTCTGATTAAATAGAACGGTTAAGATTGAAATTTGGACACATACTGCTGGGCCGAGAATTTTCGGTTTCTGTGGTTGCACCCCCCACCTCCACAATGGTTGCATAGGTGCACTGGAACAATCCTTCATAAAACGCATTAAACTTTAGTTTACAAAGACGTGAAACTCACCGAGTGGGTCTGGGGTGTTCACTGATATGCTCACACAAATATCGCTGCAAAAGATGCTTTCCAACAGGTTTTAGCGTAGTTTTCGTCCAACTCCATTGACTTGGACTAAAACTACGATAAAACCTGTTGGAAAGCATCTTTTGCAGCGATTTTTTTGTGAGCATATCAGCATATCATATCTTAACCGTTCTATTTTATCAGAAACGATCTTAAAACAGGGCTTTAAGATTTCTCCTTTAAGATTTCTATTTCAAATAAATGCTGTTCTTTTGAACTTTCTATTCATCAAATAATCCTGGAAGAAATATCTTTCAGGGTTTCTACAAAACATTAAGCAGCACAACATTGATAATATGAAACAATGTCACTTGAGCACCAAATCAGCATAATTAGAATGATTTCTGAAAGATCTTGTGACACTGAAGACTGGAGTAATGGCTGCACCATCACAGGAATAAATTACATTTTAAAATAGAAAACAAATTCTACCGACCCCAAAGTTTTGAACGGTAGTGCAAGTTTGGACACTTTAGCTGTATTTAGTTTTGGCTTGGCAATGTGAAGTCAATTTTGTGAAACATTTATTTCTCAGGATGTCTGCATATTTCATTCATAGACGTGTATGTAGTATAATTCTGTTTAAAGGCAGCACAAATTTCAGAAAGTAACAGTATTTATACTAAATCTTTCCAAATGGTTTTTATCAGGATGAATAGTTAGTTTTATTCCAATTCTGCTGTTATGTTGTATATGTGGGTGTATAAATTTGGATTATTTATGAGTAATAATGGTCCTAATGTGAAACTGCGTCAATTGTGTGACATCCTTTGTGGGCATTATTTAAGGTTGCTTCTGTACATATAAAGAAATTGTATGCAGACATGAGAGAAACTACTGGAAAAAGAAAATGATAATATAGTTTTAAATTATTAAATGTAGACAAATAACAGGGTAATGACAGTGGAGTCCTCTCAGTGTCATATGTGCATGGTTCGTGTCCTCTCAATAAATATGAAATCTGTTCCACAGCTTTGCATTTTTTATATGAAAAGCTTACCCTATTAAAAGGATAGAGTTCACCCAAAAATGAAAATTCTGTCATCTATTTCAAAGCTGTTAGAGCTCTATGACTATTTTGCTGAACACAAAAGAAGATATTTATCCATACAATGAAAATCAGGGGGTTCGGTGTTGTTTTGGAACCCATTCAATTTCACTATGGGCATCTTTTGTGTCATTTTGGGTGAACTACATTAAGAACCAGTAGATTATGTCCCTTCATAATCCAAAGGGTCACTAGCTTACAATTAAGATAGATGATGGCAAATAACATCCACATTGTTTGTGGGCAACATGTTGTTATAATCTGTGCATATTGTATACATAAATGAGCCTATTTATGGACCAGCTTTAGCTTGTAAACTCGAATGGACCTTTTCGTGAGTCTAAAGAGCTGGTATTCATCATCATCCATGTAGCGTGCACATATTTACACCTGTCATTTAGCGCTCACTGAGTCTGTTCTGGGGCAGTGTGTGTTAGCTGCCCTGACTGAAGCTGTGAATTTGGCTCAGATATTTGGACAGGTCTTCCTCTCCCTCCTCTTGTAGATGCTGCTGATAGCACTGGAGGATCCGGGAGGCGTTAGTCTCCATGTGACTCTCGGCGTGAGGCAGGCAGGCATTCGACATGCCCAAAATTATGGTGGTTAAGGCCTTGATGTAATTCTTGGCCAGCGTGAGAGTCTCGATCTTGGAAAGTTTCTTGTCAGTTTTGACATGAGGAATGGTCTCCCGTAGGGCCTGAAAGGCGTTGTTGAGTTTGTGCATCCTCTGCCTCTCTCTCTCGTTACTCTCCAGTCTGCGGACGTTGCGTTCCTTAGCGTTGCCGTGCTGCCGCCTGCGGCGCGTGCCCACGCGGGTACGACCATGCCCCTCGCCCCTCAATGTTCTCCACGTCCCACCCAGCCTCACGGACGCCTCTGAACCCTCCTGCTCACTGGAACCTGGCTCTGTTTCCAGCGTAAAGTCTGGGTCGTCCTGCTCTGCCCAAGACTGTCTGCACCGCTTTGACCCCTTTCCTTTGGACTTCATGCTTGACTCCCCCACACCCTGGTGTAGGCCCTAGAATATTATAATTCACATTTGATTTGAGGAAATTAACATGAAAAAAAATAACATCATATATCAGAATAAATGGCTTTAATAATGTGGACACTGCTGCTAGCCTGAAGAATGTCTCAAGTGCTCTCTGTATACATGAGAAGCTTAAAATTGTTTTAGCATAAGATTTGAAGACATACTTTTGGATAATGTGTAATATTTATCCCTATTGGTAGCATATCATTCATACCTGCTCTGTTCAATAGTTAAAAATATAAACTGAAAATGAAATTGATAATATTGAGCCATGCTGGTAAACTAGATTCATCAAGTGAGCAACATCATCGTCACTACACGTTGTCGCTGCTGTCTTATAAGCTGTCAATCAATCATCTCTGCTTTCGGGTGGAGAAAAAAAGTTTCGCTTACCTCAAAATAAATTTCCACCAAACTCGAGATGATGTTTGCGCGATAAGAGCCTTGCAAAGAGCGATAATTCGTTGACGTGAAGCGCTGTTGTCGTCCTGGCAGCCGCAGTCAGAATGAAATGATAACGGTCACGCGCTCTACCTGTTGCTGCCCGATGTCCACGTAGCGCTTTTGTGGCCAATCAAAGGAGGGATCTGTTTCTTCTACAGTCACCCATGAGCTGGCACAAGCATCGGAAGTAGCGATCTGAAACTGTTCACGCTTTCAGATGATGATAAAAGCGGTCTGTTGCTGCAGCAGGTGCTTTATGCACTGTATACTTTTATTTTAAAGCCAATGCAAATCACATACTCTGGTGTATTACATTAGGAGACTTTCTATTTATGAACATTAATACGTTTATTTAGCTTATATTATTATATGATTTTGCAAGAAAGAAATATGCAGACATTGCAATGGTGTGTTTCCTTGACATGATTAAATTGATAGGTATTACTATTTCCATGGCACTTTATCAAGTTAAAACACAGTGTAATATTTGCCTAGACCTTTGCATGTCAAATGGGCCTTGCATACATATCATTGGGCACTTTTCAGAGCTTTACTTTACTGTGATGTCTTCTTGTACTATATTCTTTGGAGACTATTAATATTATTATATCATTGTACTTTTCTTGTATTTATTTCCCTTTTTGACATCAGGATCTTCACATCCAGGTTTCTGCATTCTTTATTAAAGCAATTATACTAAACCAAGGGAACATATATTACAGGAATTACTTGTACTTTTCTTTTCTTTTCTTTTTTTAAATTGGCAAAAAAATTATAGATTATAAATCTATTTTAATAATCTTACTTAGCTCTCTCTCTCTCTCTCTCTCTCTCTCTCTCTCTCTCTCTCTCTCTCTCTATATATATATATATATATATGGTATGACTTTCTAGGAACACGTTTTTGATTTGTGTCAAAAACTAAAATGTTACTTGATCCTGTTATTTGAGGATAAAAAATAAGAAATAAATTGGTTTAAAGCGCCAGAACCATGGTTGTTTAAAGAACAAAATGTTAGAAAATAAAAGGTCCTTTGTGAAACTTATAAACTCTTCTACTTGGAACCTTTATTTGTACAAGTGTGTGCGCAGAGAACCACCCTTTTCATAAACTGTGGCATCAGACAGATCAAACACAGACTTGTTTATTTTGTACCTGAGTAGGCTACAGCGGACATGTCCTAAGTGCACCAGCATTAAGATCAGTCCATTTTGCTCTTATTCAAATCATCGATTGTGTTTTGAATTGTGTTTACAGTGTTGCATGAAGCACAAATAGAAACCAGTCACCATTTTGAGTATAGGATATGGACTGTTGATCTTGTCACATAATATAAAGACACTAAACATATTACATGTGGTGTGAAGCAAACAGGACATTCTCACAGTTTCTGGGAACAAGTACATTTGACACCTGTTTAACTCACAGCAGCTATCAGCTCAAATGATCCCTCCCCCACATCACTGATGGCCTTGGTCAAGCAGCGTTTGGACACAGGGTGGGCAAGACTGACTCCCTGCTTCGGTCTAAGGGCTCAATGCCGAGGCTATGGAAACAGTTTCTATCCCAACCCTCAGTTTATTTAGTGTGGAACCTCCGGTATACACCACTTACACTGATAACAATCTGCCTGTAAGCAAAGAGCTTATGAGACAGCCTCATACAAAACCATGCTCACAAAAAGGCATAAAAACTAGGCTATATAAACACAACTAAAGAACACCTGAACATAAATTCATGCAAATCCACCCAGGTATTCACTTTACTAGTAGGTTAGTTTATCAGCACTTGGTAGTACTGATATATATACCGCAACAGGTATAGTTTACAACTGTACACCATTGTGTTATATTTCAAGATAACTCTTTGATTTGCATACTCCACACAGAGGTAACTTTTAAAGTCCTGCTCACATTTCCCTTGAGTAAATAAGTCACTCATTAGCAACCACATGCTAAGCGCTACATTCCAGTCAGGGGAGCTTGTGAGATGTAAATGACAAATGAAAACATTGTCAAAAACCTAATGGGGTGTTTGATGAGAACTTAAGGTGATAAGGAACCATGTACACAAACTATTCTGATTATTAAACAAATGTTTAATTGCTCAACCAAGGCCCAAAGCTTACAGCTGGCTGACTTCAAGGCTAAATGTAAAAATAGCTGTTTAAACATGGAGGCTTTCTCTGCTGCTCTGGACACCTGATGTTTCTTCACACAGAACAGTGTTTTTAAAATGAAGCCAAAGTTAAAAATTTCCACTGAATGTATGCTGATTTGAAGGGTTAGATGATGTTAGATATGAATACTACTGATTAATTAAATGGACCATTCATCAAAATGAAAGTTCTGTCATTTACTCACCATCATGTTGTTTCCATACCTGTAAGATGTTGTTTTTTTCTACTCGTAGATCACAAAAGGAGATATTTAGCTGAATGTTCACATTGCTCTTTATAACAAAAATGAACGGTAGGCCTAATTATTGAATGTAAAATGGCAAAACACAACATTAAAGTAGCCTATATTACATATGATATCTGTGAGGAAAAAAGACCAAAAGACTTGGTCACCCACATTCATTGTATTGAAAAGAGCAACGTGAACATTCATCCTATACTGTATACTGTATCTAATGACAGAATTGAAATATTTGGTGTGAACTATTCCAAAAATGATCTGGCGTGCTTCATCTAATTTCATTGTGCTAATAATGGTCTTTGTTTTGCTTACTCACAATTCCACAACTATTAAAAAAACAGACCAGCTAGTTTCAGTGCTTAAACACATTTTTGATATCCTAATCTCCTTTGAAATGTGAGCATTTTTTTTTTATCTATCACCCATTGATGTCATACTGCCACTTATGTCATCACATGATCTGACTGGCCAGAATAACAGCCAGGAACCAACGCATTAAAGCCTGACTCACGCAGCGTCATAAAAGGGTAGATTGGGGGACAAGTCAGTTTTTCCATGACCCAAAAGCCGGTCAGACAAGAGAGGGGGAAAAGTACAGCCTGTTATGTCCGTTTTTGGCTTGAGCAGATGCTAAGGAAATGCTGCATCAGTCCACATCTTTATAATGCACATCTATCTATCTATCTATCTATCTAGCTAGCTAGCTAGCTAGCTAGCTAGCTAGCTTTTCACTTTTCCGAAGAAGATCACTTGCAAAAAAATTTGTTTATACTGTAATATGAACCATTTAGCTCATAACATTTTGCAGACCATGCAAACCACTAATAACCACTAATAATGAATCATAATAAACCATGCTTTTGAGAGAAAAGCTGGTAAACACTGACTAATCCTGCAGCTGTAAGGGGATGCCTCACAGCCTGAGAAGGCATGAATTTGTGCAGTAGGTGTCTCCACCTGCTTTGAAGAGTTGGTTATTTTCTTGTTAACGTGGATGGTGTCAAAACAGGAAATATTGTCTTCAGCTGTACACACGCCAGCCTCTGTGCATTACTTGGTAGCGGTAAATATTTGTATAGCAACACAAGATCTTCTGTTACGACACTTCTTTTCACAGGAAACCTGTAAAACCCCTTCTTGATCTATCATTCAACACACTGTTGGAACCAAACAAGCTTTACACAATTTTCCTAAAGTTCAGTTGTAAGTGGAGCTCAGTGGAAAATAATATTAATGTGTGTGTTGGTTTCCGCTTCGTCTTTGACATGAACATCTGAATTCAAATGTATATATATCTGAGGTTTAGCTGTTGGGTAACTTGCTTCTTTGAGAGGAGAGGAGGTGTTGGTCTGTAGGAGGAGCATTAAGCTGTATGTCCTCCAGACACAGAGGGAAAATGAAAATGGCTAATGTTTTAGCTGGGATGCTACTAAATGATGCCTCAGTGTAGAGGGTGAAACAACTTCGAAACCGGATTTCTTCTCAAGTTGAATTACTGAGAAGGAACAATGTTTTCAATTAGAGCAGTCATTCCCAACCTCTTAAGCAGACTTCGGTTTCAGAGACTTTAGATTTTGGATTTGCTTGTTAAACCTATAAAATAACTTATTATTAACTTACTTAATATTAGACCTATTAGGAAATATTAGGACTTAAAGGGCTGTCGAAAAATCTAACTGGCTGAAATAATAGTTACATTTGAAAATGTAAAAATATATATAAAAATGACGATTAAAGTAAAATGATTAGAGAACAAACTAATATGTGTGCATTTTGTGAATTTGAAATGGATGATGGAAAAGACTTTGTTTATTTGTATACAATGCAACTCTTTTTCCTATTTTCGTGTCCCATGCTTCAGCCAATCAAACAAATATCAAACTAAATGGAGTTATGGAATAACAAATCTTTGGGATTTGGGATTAAGCTAGTGAGTCTGATTTTTATTTATACTATCAATTAGGGATGCACGATATATCGGCCACCATATCGGTATTGGCCGATATATGTTAATTTTTAATGTTATCTTTATTGGCCTGATAAGACAATTAGGCCGATATATATAAACCGATAAATAATTTATTATTTCCTTCAGCTGAGACACTTCAGATGTGCACAGTTCGCCATTTGTCGGCCAATATATCGGTTATCGACTTTCAAATATAAATAATTATCGGTTATCGGTATCGGCCAAAGTTTTTATATCAGTGCATCCCTATCAATCGTTTTAGCTTAAACGTGAAAAAAAATATAATCTCAAAAAAAGCCATTTAACCCTTTAAGTGTCACCCCCCTTTTTTTGAATATACATGAAAATGCACATTTCGAACTTAAATGGTTGTAATTCAAGAATGCTTTGGAATATAGACGTAAGATTGGTCTTGTTTTAAAGAAGACATTTGGCAGATTCTTGTAGAAGTGAAATAAATTAAGAAAGTGAAACAGAAAAAAAGTTATTGAAGTTTGAGTTTATGAAAATGTACAATGTAAAATTTTTAATTATTCATATTTTATATAAAATATATATTTTCAAAACCTGGGCGACTCTAAAACTGCAAAAAAATCAAAGCCAAAAATCTGAACAAGTTGTGTTTCAAATTTTAGGTTGATATCTCAAAAAATGAGCTTTCAGTAAGATTTTGTTTGGGCGCAGTACCAAACTTTTTCACTAGATGACAACCAGACTCCATTACTGCCCATATAAGGGCGCCTCCATTTCCATATGTGTTTTGAGTGATATGAACCATTATTTCCACAATTTTCATACAATTTATGAAGTAGACATCCTATTCAGAAGTAATATGAGAAGTTTGGCAGATTTTGATATGATTTCAA